TTTCTTCAACGGCCCAGAATTCTTTGATTTGCGCATTAATGTCATTCAATGTAACATGACATATCAAGCTGTTTTTAAGGGTTTTCATTGCTCCAGGACCCGTTACAATCCATCCAAAGATTGTTTGCTGGGCTTATGGATGATATGATTATCCTTTTATTATTCCACTTAGCAATATTTCACCAATGACATCTGACCCTAATATAAGATAAATTTTTGCTGGTTTCTCAAATTCAGGTGTCTTTATGTACCTGCTCTTTCGGCAGGATTTTTGTCAGGCTTTCCAGAACGTAAGCTGCGGTGGTAACCGAAAATTCTTTATATTGCTTTGATGTAATTGTTATGCTCACACTATTTTAAACAAAGCTTATTTCTTTTGCACCGATCCCAGTTATTATGGCAAAAATTTTTGTTCTTTTGAGTTGCAATTGATCTGCAACTTTTTTTGTTATAAACTACGGCTGCGACCTTTGGTCTGTTAGGGCTCGCAATGGTGTATTTTTAACGCGTACATTTGCTGTAGGTAATAAAACTGCCGCATTGTTTGGTATGACGCAGTTGTACGAATGCCCACCTGAATTGCTGAGTGTATTACGTGTTTTTACTCTACTTTCATCATGTAACAGACTGTGATGATTTTTATTGCATTTCATGCAAGTGTTCTTTAAAATGCACTTGTTTCTCACATGATTGCTGCTGAGACAATTTGAGCAAAAGTTGGGCCTCTTACTGCTGCCCAATTTGGAGTAATACTCATGTCTTTGAATTTTTGACATGAGTGCATTTTGTGCTGCTCTTTACAAATTGGACATTCTTTTACCTTCATCACGCTGAGATACATTTGGATGCTTCGCCTTTCATGTTTTGATTTTCTTGCCGGACCCCCAAAGTTTCTAACGCCTGAAACCTTGTTTCTCGGAAATGTCACGTAGCTGTCAATTCTGGAATTTCCTTCGGGTCTGCCTGTTGTTCATAGAGCCTTGAAGTTTGCTTATCAATTTTTGTAAAATTAGAAAAATAATTATAGGACCCTAGGAATCTGTTTCAATACTTAGAATGCCTTTCTTTTGTAGTGTCGAACATGTTTTTTAATCCAGCCGGTGTTTCATTATTTAAATGAGGTAGAGATAGCAGCTTATTCATATATGTTGAGAACAGTATTATTTTGTTGTTGTACCTAGCTGTTACCAATTTCCATGCAGTAAGGTAATTTTTGTTAGTTACTAGTAGATGTTTTATTAAGTTCATTGGCTCTGGCGACAGTAGACTTTTGAGGTAATCAAATTTTTGAACGTTATCCAATTGGCTATTTGAATGTATAAGCAAATTAAATAGATTAAAAAAGATGGTCCATGAGTCATACTGGCCGTTGAATGCTGGTATGTTCATTTGTGGTAATTTTACTCGGTTTTCTTGTGCTCTTGTAGACTCACCAGATTGAATTTGCTTCTGTGTATACTGCCTTATTCTTGTGACAATTTCCTGTTTCTCTCCAACTTTTTCGAAATGCTCATCTTTTAAGTATTCTGATTCTTGTTCATTTGCGGCATGAGAAACGATGTCATCATATGTTCTGATTATAACTTTCCAATATGTGGTCAATGTTTCAAGATACTGCACACACGCTGTGACAGAGTCCTTTTATTGCATGCATTCGTCTACCTTATTGACAACTCGGTAAAACATTTTTATTTTATTGTGCTGCTTTTTGTAAGCTTGCTGTTGCTCTATGTCCATTAAATCATTCGACTTTAACTCAGCTTCGTCATTGTTGTTCTCTTCTAAATCGCCGTCCATTTCATTGTCTGCGTTAGCTTGGTTTTCAACTTTGGAGCCTTTGGGTTGGCTTGCGTTTTGAGCTGGTACCGTACTTGTGAATCGGTCTTGTAGGCTCTCCTTGAGTTGCTTCACCTTGTCCTTGAGATCAGTGTTCGCACTTCAAAACTTTTTTATTATCAAGTCGTTGATATTAAACTGTTTCCATAGTTTGTTGAGTTTATCTAGCCTAGCAGCTAGATATTCTGCTTCTTGAATCTGGATCTTTCTTAAAGTTGATCAGTAACTTTTCTATGTCTTCTCCTAACTCCTTTTGTTTGGCAGCAGTTTCATCCAGATTTAAATTTTGTGACATTTTTTTGTATTTTTTGGTTGAGCCCCCAAAATTTTTGATAGTTTCATTGAAAAAACTTCTTGTTGCTTGGTTTGAAGTTAATTAATTTATTTACTAAAAATCTGACCTATTTATACAAAAATTATACTACTTAAAATAAATTATTTGCCACAGAAATGGAGCAGTAAGCAATTTTATGCATTTCATAATTTTTCCATGTTAACTTAACGTACGTATCACATAGGTTTTAAATTTATTAAAAGTAAAATTAACAAACAAAATATATGTAATTTGACTAATACTAAAATATTGTGAGAAAGTTATGTATGGGAAAATATTTACATTAACTATGTAAATATTTGCAGACACATGTGCGTTAATATTAAGATTGATAAATTAGAATTTTAGCAACTTTGATATTTTAAATAAATGGGAAAATAATGATAAGAAATTCAGAATTCAGAATAATAGTTGTTATTTATTGTTAATAAAGAGAGGAACAAATAAAAAATTTAAAAAAAAATGTGCGTGCAACTTTGGCGTAGAGGAAAGAATAAGGAATATAGAGAAAAAAAATTAGGAACCGGAAGAAGGTGGAGAGGGTGCTGCTTATGGCATGTTTTGGGATGGCTGGTACATTCCGTACTGTGCCTACTTTGGGTTTGGAATTTTGGATGTTATTCTTAGCCTGGATACGGTAAGTGAGCAGGTGAAGGCAGTACCTGCAAAGAGTGTCTTGTGGCTCCAAGCTATAGGCATGCTGAGAGAAAGGAATTATACACACAGTACCATCCGGGGCGAGTATGGGGTGCGCGCTGGGGACTTTAGGTCTGATATTCTGGTGCTAAATACTGACCGTGAGATTGACTACGGGATTGTAAATTCACAAAGTGAGGATTAGAGCACTAAAGAGCTAAGCATGTGTGAGAGAGTGTGATCTCGCCATCTTCATGTAGGGCGGCGATCGGGGTTCTCACACCCTACTCATTTAGGTTGGCTTTGGTGGGTCGCTGCAGGGGGGCAAATTACCTTGTAGGGACTTTAACGAGTGGGGATGCCAATCCAGTGAATGAATTGGTGCGTCTGCTGCTGAAGGCATTCCTTAGCATCATAGTTACGGAGACTAGGAGCGAATTATTGTCAGTATTATGTATCTATTGTATGTCATATCAGAATATAATATCATAAATTTACAATTTAATAGATTTATTAAATATTATAATTTTTTCAAACATTTCAGAATACTTACTTATTTTATGATAGTACTTCAATTTATTCACATTCAATCATCATTTAAATTCTTTAATTTTGCTGATTTAATCAAATTGCAATATTAAAAATTTTCGAAATCTACTTTACATGTCTACCAAATTATGTACTTATCATTTTCATGTAATTCGGTATCTTGATGGAATTTGAGGATGCTTGTACTGCAATGTGCTCCTTTTCCACCAAATCTTATTCTGCACGAATCCAAAGTAATCAATATTATATGGCACTAATCAATTTAGATTTCCGGAATATATTCCGCGTAAATAATAATATTTTAAATGTTTTCGCGTCAATGATATTTACATAAACGGCTTTCCACTTTTGATATTTTGAAAAGCTGAAACAAGTGGCTTTCAAAGTTTTTATTCGGCTTTGCAAAGTAAAACTAATTTCTGCTATATGAACTAAGTTTCTTTGGATGTAAAATTTTCTAGTTGTATAAGGATTTAAGAAAAATGGTATAAAAGGAGCAATGAACTCTTTGGGTACGGGAATTTTTCATAATTGTGTTAAAAGTCAAAAATTTTGATCATAATCGAAAGAATCTTCGCTTAAAAATGTTTTAAATTTTCGCAAGAAAAAAATTAAATTAAAGTGAGTGTTAATATATAAATAAGTATATAACAAATTCATTTCAGCCTTGTGAAAATGAAATCATACTAACGTTAAATTTATAATCATTTTAAAATTGTATTCACTTTTAACATATGTTCATTATACCCGTACGAACTTATGTTCGTAACGCTAAGAAATAACTACCTTAGATATAGACTCAAGTGTATGTTTTTGATCAGAAATTCTGAGTTGATTTAGCTTTGTCTGTCCGTCCGTCCGTTTTACGGTCCCAACTTTAACTCAAAAACTAATTGAGCTAAGTTCACCAAATTTTTACAAATGATTTATTGTAGTAAGTGCCAGAACCCTATTTAAATTGGACATGATCAGGGTGCAGGTTCGGGTAGCTGGTATTGAAATTTCACACAAACTAATATATTAGTAGGGCCAATGTATTTGATAAAAGTTGTTGAAATTGCTTGGCTCCTTCTGGTAGCTGTCGTACAACTTCAAAAGTTATTTGGCTATATCTCAAAGACTATAAAAGCTATGGTATTGAAATTCACACAAGCGAATATATTAATCGGGCCAATGTGATTGATAAAACTCGTTTAAATTGTTTGGCTCCTTCTGGTAACTGTCGTACAATTTCAGAAGTTATTTGGCTATATCTCAGAAACTATAAAAGGTGTAATATTGAAATTTCACACAAGCAAATATATTTTGTATTAGATGGCGGTTGTGGGTTTTAATTTGTGCAAACTTTTGAAGAAACATAACATGTACAGAACTTATTACGAAAACTAAGAATACATCTTGTTTCGTTTTCTTTCTTGGTACATTATTGTATGTTACATTTTTGTATGTTACTTCTATTTTATCGAAAAAATTTGGTTAAAACTAAATTTGGTGTAATCGGTGGGAGAGTTTTAAAAAAAAATCCTTTCTGGAGCATATCAACTGCATAGGTTTAATATTCTTAACTGATGAAGCATAATTTCTAATAGCTTGAAATTTCTACAATATGCACAAATGCAGCAATCTAAACCCACACAGTAACAGAATGTCATCATCTCAAACACGATTTCGTGTCAATGTATAGGCTGGAATAATTTGCAGTATATTTGTTGGACCACTTATATTGCCCAGGCCGAACACTATCATCAATTTTTAAATGAAATGCTTCCAATTATATTCGACTCATTGCATAAGAAATGTACAAAACTTATTCAATAAGCGCGTTATCTTGAGAGTTGGATTAGATGACATAGACCAATATCGCACAGCCAGCTGGATCTTCAGACTAAAATCGAATAGATTTTTATATATAGGTATAATATTTCTATTGTAATTTTTATTATAATTTTTTTTAATTTTTATAATGTTGTTAGATTTTAAAATTTTTTAATTAAGATAATTATTTCTTTGCTATTATAAAGAGAAAAATAAATTTTATTCTAATTCAAAAAAAAAAAAATTTTTTTTTGTAATTGGAGCTCTTGCGAATTCAGCTTTAAGGTATAATAGAGTCGTAGAAGGAGATATCAATTGTAGTCGAATACGGTTCGGCTGAAAGAGTGACAGGTCAAATTTTAAAAAAAGTTTGAAGATTTTTGAAACTTGTCGCCATATTTAAAACACATTCTCTTTACTAAATTCTTAGTTTATACCGATTTGTTAGTTAATATTTAATTTGAATATTAATTTTTTTTTCAGATTACTACAAATAACATTTTGTTGAGTCATTTAAGCATAACACAAATTTTATTATCACTGGTATTTCTGATATTTTCATTCCCGGTGATAGTTATAAATGGTGCTTGGATAGCGTCCGCAGAATTTTCGTGTAAATTGAATGGATTTTTATTAATAACTCTGCATCCACTTGTCTTGTGGACTATTTGTGGTCTAAATTGGGATCGATTTTACGCTATATCGGCTCCATTACATTATAATACAATTGTCACGAATAAAAAGGTAAATCAAGAAAATTCAAATTTAGTATTACCGATTTTATTAATATGATATTTCGTTAGGTTACACTCGGCTTGATCACCGGTTGGATTGGTATACTATTTCTATCAATACCAACATTTACTACTGTTGCACCTCATAAATTTAACCCAACTGCGTTTGTCTGCACACCAAACTTTTCAGCTCAAAACTCGTTATGGTACGCAAGTATATTTACTTTTACTACCTTAATAGTTCCAGGAATAATAATAATAATCTGCAACATTAAGGTGAGTGCTTAAGACAAAACAACAGATAACTGTTAGCTTATTAAATTATTTTTAGCACTTTTCCAAAATTTTTTTAAAAAAAGTGCTTATTAGTTTCACTCTGTCCGTCCATCCGTCCGTGGACACTTTTTTCTTTACAAAACTTCTACACCCTTATAGAAAGCTGAAATTTAACACGTACATAAATTTAACACGTACAGAAGATAGAAAGCTTAAATTTAACACGTACATAAACCTTTACTAGAAACTATTTCGGTAGAACAAAATTTTTACCTATCTCCCCCCTCTAGAAGTTATTTCCCCCCAAAACCATAAAAATGGCCTTTTTTAACAACTTGTTGCAATGAAACCATAAGCATTTTTGAAATTTTGCAAATGCAGAAAGGCAGTGGCTTGCTTCCTCTAGCGCGAAATACTATAGTTAAACTTTAGAAAAACAAAATAGCCGTGCAAATTTACCGTTATCTAAAGTCCTTTTTTCCAAATTTTTGATGTCTTTTTTCTTCTAGACCCCAGCCTGCAGAAGCTTGAAATTTTAGGAGCTTTTAGACATTAACAAACAGTTCATTTTGTTGGAAGAAAATATTTTTCCATCTCCACCCCCTCTCAAGTTATCGCCTCTTGAAATTTGTAAAATTTGAATTTTTGACACTACATTTCTGAAACCGCAAGTTTTTTCAAGTTTCTATAAACGTAAAAAGCTAACGGTAAATTCCATTATATTAAAAAATATAATTATTTTTCTTAACTTACACAACTAAACCTTAAAATCGAGCATTATGTTAACCCCACTTTATATTAATTTTTGCTTTATTTCAAAGACTGCATAAATCGTTCATCCTAAATATATGCAATTCTAGAAATAGTTTTGTATATGAATGAAAATAATTTTAATAGTGTGATAGGTATACATAGACTGTATTTAAAAGCAGAAATTTCATTTATTGAAGGGAAAAGTGCTACAAACCATTGGTTTGACCCAACTTTATTTAATATTTATTTTGATGCTTACGAGTACTAAATTTTAAAAAAGGTAACAAAACATAAATTGAAAAAGCGAACACTTTTCTTTTGTAAAATGTTTTTAAAATGCACGTTCGTTAAATTCAAATAGCATGTTCGAAAATGTCAGTCGTGTTAACTCCTAAAGGAAGTTTTAAATTTTCTTTGTAACTAGAAATAAAATTTTTTCTATAAACTAGAAGAAGAGTGTAATAGAAATATATTAGAGATTGTAATATACTTACTCGAGTAAATTACAAATCAAAAAGTAAAATATTCAGCTTCAGCAGATTTGTAAGTATGTGTGAAAAGACTTTTTAGATTTAATTTAGAACTTTCAGGGCAAGTCTGAGTTATCGAAAATTCCCATACTTGCATAGTTATTGTTTTGTTTTCAAAGTGAAAATCAACCAATCGTAAAATATCAGGGCAATTAGTGGCCGAATTCTTTCTGAATTAACAATTTTTCGAATACTTATAAATTTAGTACACTATAATTACAATGAAAATTTCAAAAAGATGAGACAATTTTATGATAAAATTGTTCTTTTATCAATGAATATTTGACCCCCAAAATCCCAGTCGCAAATTTTTGGTTTTGACAAAGAGGTAAATCGACTTAAATGCCTATAACTTCCGTAGTTATTAACCGATTTGAAAAACATGAAATATGCAATGGAAAGCTGCAAAGTAACTCTTTGAAAAAACAGCATATCACTTGAGGCGTTACTTAAAAAGTTATTGAGGAATTAAATCAAAAAAAAGAGAGAAAAAAATAAAATTTTTCACAATGTGATCACAATTACTAAAACGTGAAATGTGACTAATTTACGCTATTGAATTCTTCTTCTCATAAATTAAAAGATTTTGATCCGGTTTTCAAATTGCCTCAAAGCAAATTAGTTACTCTTTAAAAACGAAAATATCAATTTGCTTATTGCCCAACTATACAATAAAACACAATAAATTTCTGATACAATAAAACTTATATTGCAGGTTTTAATGATTGCTCGTAATCACCGGCATAGAATTGCTGCGGCCATATATGAAGTGACATTGTCCGCTCAAGTAACAATTACTCATCAGCGTAATCCTTTTTTAAATTCATCAGTAACAGCTCCAGCATCTGGGAGCCCATTATTTCGATCACGTTCACCTGTATCAATGGTGTTACAATTAATAATATCATTTATTTTAATTTACTTACCATATTACTTATCAATCATTTCCAACAGCTTGGCTTCTTTTATATATAATAAAAAAACAAATGACATCGCCAGTTATGAAGCCGATGGTATACCTAAATTAATTAATAAAGCAAATCAATATATTGTGTTAGTATCTCAATGTTCTTTAACAAGTTCAACGGTTATAAATGCATTTTTATATGGATTTAAAAATAAAACAATCAGAACAACATTTCATAATTATTGGCGTAAAAAGCGTACCAAAAATGAAATTCACCAAGAAATACAAGCTAGAACGCCCTCAATGTGTGGTTCCCGACGGCCATCTTTATCAAATTCAAATTTTTTAATAAACCCTTTATTGCAACGACGTTTGCCCTTAACGTTTAGTGATGCTGAGCAGCGTTCAGTGTGCACCAGTCCAAATCACGAAATGGAGACAAGCAACATTAAAGTACTTAATGATGACCAATCATTTTTTTCTTTTATTGATAAAAAGCTCTTTGAACGCACAAAGATCTCATTGAAAGAAGAAAAGAACCTGAATGATATAAAATTTTCATGTTGTAACAGGTAATTTTAAATTTATTGAAACGGGCAACCAAATACTTCTTTATCGTAAAATTAGATTACTGCACCAAAAATATGTGCTCTCCAATGTAAATTTAGTCGCGTTCAAATCTACGTTATTAAAAATTTTCATAATCGCTTAAGTTTCAAATGAATTAGATGATTTAAGCATAAACAATATAAAAAATTTGTCGTAAAATACTTACAAGATAATCCAAGATTAAAGATAACACAAGATTAAACCAAATTAGCTGAACGTACTTTAAGCGTTTATTATAAAATTAAACTATACTCCAGATTCTTCCTACAAACGCAAGACATTGTCAAAATTAATTGGGAAAATTGGGAAAAAATTGGGAAAATGCGGGACCAGTTTTAAATAAACATAAAAATATTTGAGACAAAGACCAAATTCTCTCGTTTCTATTAGGTCCCCAGTGCCCTCCGGTTGTCCACAGAGCGTATGCAGTTCCGCATGCCTTGGAAGGAATATCCTCTGTCATAAAGGTTTCGCAATCTTCAACAGTAGCTTCGGTTAATATGAACATGATGGGTCCGAAGGTTTTTGGTTTGCTGCTGCTTCAAAAATTTTCTGATATTTTGACTGGTGACTCAGCGTCAGATTGGTAATTTCTCAGGGGCTTCTTTCTATTTTGCATTGCAACATCATGGTTGTTACATGGAGGTTACCGAGCTGATAAAACTGAGAGGGATATTCAATGCCTGTACTAGAGTTGCATCTGGAAGGAGGAGGTTCGGGAGCATGCGTAGTGCTAGACAACCGTGGAGCTATGAGTCTTTTCTGAGAACAACAGTTGCTTCCTGACCGGATATTTTCAAACCAACTCGAGGCGAAAGACTCACCTTTGCAGGGTGAGTTAACGTGTTTTGAGCCTCCTGCAAATTCTAACACGTCTCCACTGCAACTAACTTGCACCAATGCTTAACTGCTTCAAATCATTTCTTAAGTTTTATCCTAATTATTTAGTAATCATTACTGATATCAACAAAACATGTTTACATTTGGTGTGAAAGTTTTGTTGGAAAATTTTATGAACTTTTAAATAGCTTTATACAAAACTACTCCCGAGTTAAGACTAGAACTCTCCGAAATTCTATTAATATTAATTTTTTTCTTAAATTTTTACAAATACATCAAAGAAAATTGCTATTGACAATATTATTATGGTGGTTACAGTTTATATTACTAAAGTTTTCTAATAAAATTTTGTCAAATGTGACCCGTGTCCTAAAGTTTTTAAATTTTTCATCATTTTCACTTATAGAATACTAAATTCTTTCCTTTAAAATAGGTTTTATATTTGAAAAATGGGGGTCTAATATTTGTAATGAACAGTTATAAAAATCGATAATTATATTTTTAGATAAAATTAAATTTCTATTGTCACAAGTTTGATTAAGTACAATATTTTTTACATTTTTTTTAAGTTTCTTCATTAATTCAACAATTTCTGTGACATTATTATGTATAACCTTACAATTATTTTTGAAAGTACAATTTTTGCTCAACTTTAATTCGCTTAATGTTTTAGATTCCTCATAATGGTAATTTAAACTATTATGCTCAAAAATGGTTTCTTGAAATTTAATAATTTTAGGTTTAATTTTTTTTAATTAATTTTGCTTATTTTAATTAATTTATTTTAATTAATTTATTTTAATTAATTAACTTATTTTAATTAATTTTGCTTTAGAATTTTAATAGCAAGTAATGATGACTTTTCCTGAAATTTACCTACTCCGAATTTAACGTATATAAATATTATAATTTTCAAAAATCTACATTATAATTTTGAGTTTCTTGGTTTGTTAAAATATTAGAATGAAATATGCAATGTCTGGCCGAAGCTAAATTTTCTTGAATTTGATTAATTTTTTCTTTAATAATTTGGATTTTCAATTTTAATTCTATATAAAAATTTTACTGGATTGTAAAAATAAAGGACGATCCTTTTCTATAGATTGTTTTAACTGATTAATTGCCCTATTAAAATTATCACTTATTTTTACTTGTGAATTAATATTATAAATTAACTTATTGTTGTAGAAAGCGGACGGTTCATATATGAAAAGTATGCATTCGCAGTGGGCGACAAAAAGTAGGAGCGCCATTAAAAACTTTAAAAAATCATAAATTTAAAAAAAAAAATTTTTAATACAAATTTAATTCAATTTACAGTGAAATTAACTTGATAAAATGTACATACATACAAACATAATATTTTATTCCTAATAATATAAAAAAAACGGTCAGTTACGCAAAATACTAAGTATTGATCTTCATGTATTTTCCTTTCGCACCATACAATGAAATGCTCATACTCGTAGAATGAAAATTACTCATACATTTTCTTACTCTACACCATGTTTTTCTTTATTCCATGCTCTCTACACTGTAGAGCGTGGACCGTATTGTGTATACAATAGGTTATGATGGCACCAAATTTTTCATATCGAGTTTTCGGTGGGAATGCACTTCTTCATGGTAGGGAAGTGTAAATAAACTATTTTTAGCAACCTGTTGTCTGTTTGTCGGTCTGTGTGTGCACGCGTGTATCTCAAGATCTGCTGAAACGATTTTTATGAAATTTTATATGTAAGTTTATTTCGACCATAGCACGGATTGATCAATTTTTGGAATATATCAAGCCTCGGGAACTGCACTTTTTAGCGGGCCTGTTTTACATTTTTGACCATTTTGAAGAAAATATTCAACCGATTTACTTGAAATTTCATATATGAGCTTTGCTCGACCGTCCGCGAAAACTCCTAACTTTAAGAAGAAATCAGGCATCAGCAACTGGACGTTTACTACAGACAAAATATACATTTTTGCATATTTAAATTCTTCGTATTGAAGCAATGAACACATAAAGTTTTTGTAAAGATCAGGGCTCGAAAACTGATCTGCGGGCCGATTTTACATTTTTAATCATATCTACGGAACGGATTGATGGAATTACTTGAAATTTGATATTTGAGTTCTAGTTGTTACCGAAATTAACTATATATGTCGCACGAAATATACTATGTATGTATAAGATATTTAATTGGATTCAAATTTATAATTAAATGAAAGAGAGAGAGAAAACACAATTTTACTTAACATATACATATGAACTAGTATAAACTTCGAATATTTCTCAAAGCTTCCCAGAGATTGTATTATACTGCCTGACGGAGTCACAAAAGTGTTCCATACGCCTGGTTTCCGAGTTGTATATATATTAGCGTTTTGTGTATCATGTTAATGTACCATACTTTAAAAAATCATGAGTGACACGGCCATTTTGCATCATTTTTAATTGTTGTTTTATGAATCTGTATTTTCTTTATACTTTGTTTTGATCCTATTTCCCAAATTAATAGACCATATGTTATGTTAAAATGGAAATGACTATTACATATATACTTCTTTTTAGTATATCAGGTAAGTACTCAGATGCCTTTTTAAATATTCCAGTTATTCTACAGCATTTTTTGGAAATTTGGTCAACATGTTGATTCCATGTTAAATTGTTATCAATTATGAACCCAAAATAATTGTGATAATGTTTATGCCTTGTTTGTATTTATTTATTATTTTACTAATTCTTTTATTGCTCATTTGGATTTCTTTTTCGAGTTCGTGTAAATGGTTGTTACAATACACAATAGCAAAATTGTTTATAATAGTAATAATAATAGGATACATATCTATAATAATTATAATAGCATACATACACAGGGTGCTTCGTAAGTAGGCAAATAATTTCCGGGATGATTCTTTGATCAATTTCTAGCAAAAAATTGTATGGATGGAAGGAGGTGCAGAACTACTGGTTTTCAAGCTACAGCCTGTTGAAAAAAATGGTACCGGACTTTTCGGCATTTAAATAAATACCTATAACTTCGGAACCATACAGCATAAAGTTATCATTGGGAGCTCGTTTTACATTCTATTGATCGTTCTTTACGTCTTACCATAAATTTTATTTGAACCGTAGTTTTTGAGATACAGCTCGTCAAAATCAGAATTTTGTGTTTTTTTTTAATTTTTTTTGCAAAACTCGAAGTTTTAGACAATTTTACACATGAATTTTAAGACATGCGATAGAAAGGTGGTGCAACAGTATATTATTATATGAACAAACTATCTAGCATAACCAGTACTTATAGATTATATACATTTATGTGAAAGCTAAGTCTCACTAGTGATATCATTTTCTTTGCAGATTGGATTTATCAAGAAACGACATAACTTGCTGTTACCCCAGCTACATTCAGCAAAATGTTGTTTTCCTACGAAGTCATAAGCCAAATTTGGATAGGTTAAATTTAAATCATTCATTAGAACTTCTTGCAACAAAAAATTTATTGAAAACATTACACACAGGTATGGGTAAAAAACTGAAAATGACAACCTAAAAAACTAAATGCTAAACCAATTACAAAGTTAAACAAACAAGACAAGTTATTAAAACAACTAAAAATTTCAGATGAAAAAAAAAAAGCTGAGTCTATTCGAGAAATACGTCTTTCGGAAACTTTTTTTAGAAAGTATTTGTCAATTTGTAATTTACAAGAATATATTGAAAATTTTGATTTTAAAAGCAATTATGAATTGGCAGAATTCTGTAAAAGAAATAGAGCAACTAACGACAAAATTTTTGAAACAAACGATGAAAGAGCTGGCATTGAATATATAGATGAACTCGACAATATATATACTTGTTTTTGGAGTGGTTCTACTTCTTTTTCATTTTCCAGATTACAGCAGCGCAAATATTCATCAATGAAAGATACCTTTACTTTAAATGAAGAACACCAAAAAATAGAGGAACAACTTTTATTGTCTTGGCCAACAACAAGAAAAAAATTGAAACTTTATGCCAGCTCAACTTTTAACAGAAAAAAATTTTCAAAAAAATAGTAATTGTCTTTTTGTAGCGTTAATGTCATAAGATTACCTTAAAATTACATTAACATAAAAAAACTATGCATTATACACGTAAAATATTTTAAAAACTCTGAAGATGCCTCCGTAGATCATTGAAAAACGGTCAATATATTGATTATTGAATGATAATTATATTAAATATACATAAACAAAAAATTAAAAAAAAAATAATAAAAATATGGTCAAATAAAAACAGTCTAAATTTATTTAAGGAATTTGCAATTAATAGATAATTAACATCTGATAAAACTAAAATTTATCTTAATAGTAACGACATCAAATATAAGGGAAATATTACCATTTAGTCTAGAATAAGGTTGGATTCCAGGTGACTCGCCTTTAGGATCGTCTCAACAATATAAAGTTTCAGTATGGTAATTAATATCTGCGTAATTTCCAATTTCTAATATTGCACTTATTTTGAAAATTTGTAGATAAATTAAAATTTAACTTAATTTTAAATTTTAAATGTACTATTTTAAAATAAAAACCCATAACAAAATTGTTTAATTACAAAAATTGTCTTCTATATATCATACTCTAAACCAGGCATGGGGAACCTGCGGCCTTAAGGCCGCATGCGGCCTTTCAACTGTTTTTTAGTGGCCTTTGTCCTTAAAAAAATTTATTTCTTATATTTCTTAAAAATTAAAATTTTGCTGCCAAATTTTCGAAAACAAATCAAACATTTAGAAAAATAAACCGTGCACATAAACTTTCAAATTTGAAAACTAAAAATTGGAAAATTCAAAGCCATGAAATTTCTAACAACGTTTGAATTCAAAATTTACATACATATTTGTTTGAAAACAAACCCATATTAATATTTAAATCCTATTAATATTATGAAATAAACTGTTTTATGTTATTTTTTATATTCTGACATAATTTTGTGTTCATCAACCTACACAAAGCAAAAATTTATAACCTTTGGACTTTTTTTAAACTTTGCGGCCTGATTGACTTTGCATTGACTAAAATTTGGCCTTATATAGAGAAAAGGTTCCCCATCCCTGCTCTAAACTATATGCACAATGCTAATATTAAGGCCCTTTTTAACCTACTTCGTTCCTTGTAGGAGCATATCGTTGGTGCATGTTATTGTAGACAACAGATAAACCAGTTTCTTGCGTCATTGAGTTTTACTAGGTGACGAGCCTACTGCAGCTTATTCTTTATATTAAATAATTAAGGTTAGATTGATATTTATTGTTTTATATTGCTAGTATTTTTAATGTCGAAATATGGCAATTAGTTAATATTGATTTTTTATTTTATATGTATAATGTATATAAAGCTTTATAATATTGAATATAATTATTATAGTGACCTGGCTGGGCTTTGAAGCCGAGACCCTTCAGTTAAAAGACCAGTAAAATAACCACTGCACCATTAATTAAATAATTATTAAGACATAATTTGCTATTATCAAAAGTACCTGCATACATATTTAAGCAAATATATACAAAATAAGAATGTGCAAGGGGCGATAGAAAACAGGGGCGCCATTGAAAACTAAAAACAACTCTTAATTTAAAAAAAAAAATTGATGACACAGCGAAAACATGTATCCATTAAATGCTCGTCAGTTAGTTTTGGTAACAATCAGAACTCAAATATCAAATTTCAAGAAATTCCATTAATTCGTTCCGTAGGTATGGTAAAAAATGTAATATCAGCACTCAGATCAGTTTTCGAGCCCTGACCTTTTCAAAAAATTTATATGTTCATTGTTTTAGTACGAAGAATTTAAATATTAAATTTCAACGAAATTGGTTGATTATTTCTCTTCATATACGCAAAAATATATATTTGACTCGTAGTAAACGTCCAGTTGCTCACGCCTGATTTCTTCCAAAAGTTAGGAGGTTTTGGAGACGGCGTCATAAAATTTAAACAAAATAATATGGTCGATGGATCTACTGGAAAGCTTGTCACCAAAAAGCTTCAATGTATGGTTTGTGAAAAGTCGAAAATCCATCAATTACCTTATAATAGTTCAACAAGAAAATAATGTGATGTTTTAGAATGTTTAGAATGTTCTTTTAGTTTTATCGATAATTTTTCTAGATACTTTGAAATTACATTTTTTTTTTCAAGAACTATAAAAACTTTGTTGAATGTCTGACCGGAAAGAAAATTTAATGCTTGAGAAGTGACAGCGCACGAGAATATTTATCTAAAGAATTTGAAATTTTTCTAAAGCAAGATAGAAAAGAGAATTATCTGTGGAACATATTCCGCGGCAAAATGGGGTTGCCGAGAGGGTAAATTGGACCCTGATGAATATAATAATGTGCCTACGAGTATTAAATTTTTTGAAAAAAGTGCTTATTAGTTTTACTCTGTCCTTTCGTCCGTCCGTCCGTTCGCCCGTGGACACTTTTTTTGTTTACTAATCTTCTACACCCTTGAAGATAGAAAGCTGAAATCTAACATGCATATAGATCTTTAATAGAAACTTATTTCCGTGGAACAAAATTTTTAACTATCTCTCCACCTCTAAATGTTATGCCACCCCAAAATCCTAAAAATGGCCCTTTTTAACTATTTGTTGCAATGAAACCATAAGCATTCTTCAAATTTTGCAAAAGCAGAAAGGCAGTGGTTTGCTTCACCTATCGTGGCATACTATTGTTAAACTTTAAAAATTTTTTAAGTTAAACTATTTCTAAAAAAATTTTTTTTTTAAATTTTTGATGTCGTTTTTCTTCTAGACACCAGGTTATAGGAGCCTGAAATTTTAGTAGCTTTTAGAGACTAATAAATAGTTTATTTCGTTAGAGGAAATTTTTCCATCTCCACCCCCTCTCAACTTATCGCCCTTTGAAATTTGTAGAATTTGAATTTCTGATACCTTTTATTTCCGAAACCGCAAGCTTTTTAGCACTTTTCCAGAAATTTTTTGAAAAAAAATGCTTATTAGTTTCACTCTGTCCGTCTGTCCGTGGACACTTTTTTGTTTACAAAACTTCTACACCCTTGAAGATAAAAAGCTGAAATTTAATACGTACATAGATCTTTACTAGTAACTTATTTCCGTAGAACAAAATTTTTACCTATCTCCCCACCTCTACAAGTTATACCCCCCCAAAAACTTAAAACTGGTCTTTTTAACTATTTGTGGCAATGAAATCATAACCATTTTTGAAATTTCGCAAACGCATAAATGCAGCGGCTTGCTTCCCCTAGCGCGATATACTATATTTAAATTTTAGAAAAAAAAAATGGCCATTCAAATTTACCGTTACCTAGAGTCCTTTTTCCCAAATTTTTGATGTCGTTTTTCTTCTAGACCCCAGCCTGTAGAAGCTTGAAATTTAAGGGGGTTTTAGACATTAATCAATAGTTCATTTCGTTAGAAGAAAATTTTTTTCCATTTCACCCCCTCTCAAGTTATCAATTCTTGAAATATATGCAATAATTGAAATAGTTTCATATATGAATGAAACTATTTTTAATAGTGTGGTAGATATACATAAACTGTATTATGTATATCTACCACACTATTAAAAGCATTATTTTTACTAATATTGTTAAGGGAAAAGTGCTACAATATAATCAGTCAGCGTTGATTTCCTATTCAATTTTCCTATTAGTGAAATCAGTACACGTAAATTTCACTAATAGGAAAATTGACAATTCATTTTCGGTTCGGATAAATGGCGTCTTGATTTCGTCCGCAAACACGGCGAAGTATTTGGGAATGACGTTGGACGCGAAGCTCAGATGCACATAAAGAAAAAGAGGTCTCAACTAGAGGAGGAATACAGAAAGTTCGAATGGCTTTTGGGGAGACGTTCTAAATTGACAATATACAACAAAGTTTTGATATATAATCAAATATTTAAGCCTGTTTGGGCTTACGGTATTCAGTTATGGGGCTGCGCTGCGCAGATTCATATCCAATCTATACAAAAATTTCAAAATAGAGTATTACAGGACACTATAAACGTCCCTTGGTATGTCCGTAATGTCGATATACACAGGAATCTGACGATCCTAAGTGTCACAGACGAAATTAAAAAGCAAGCAGTCAATCATAAAATGCGTTTATCCAATCATGTCGACATCGAGGTAGCTCAATTGGTTGACAATCAGAACTTTGTTAGGAAACTTAAACGTACGAGACCTCTCGAGTTAGTTTAAAGTTTTTTATCTGGAACAATGAGTACTAAGTACGCTATTGTGCCAGATCAAAAGCTTGTAAATGATCAAAAAGGTTAGAGCAAAATTAATGGTTAGTCGTTTCCAACTAGTTTTATAGTTTATTTTGAGGAGGGTGTTTTTTAGTGGAATAAAGTTCCACACTGCTGCTTTTCGTCTTGTAGTGTCTTTCGAGATTTTTCACCCTTCCTCTCGGGGAAAAAAAAAAGTCAGCGTTGTGGCAATTTGTTTTCGAAAGGAAATGTTGGTGTTGGTAATATTGATATCATAACGGAAATTTTTCTTACTTATATTCGAGATGAAAATATGGTTGAAAATTACATAGATAAAGAGATTTATTTTCGTAATAAATTAAGGGGGCACAAGTTCTTTAGAAAGCGATAGGAATAATGAAAGTTCAGATATTGAATATGAATATGAGATTTCCCCTAAGAAATAAATGGGTATTTACAACAAAAAATTGTTCTGAATCAATTCTTATATAAAGCTTATTATAAAGATTAGTGGCTAAAGGTTGCGAACAACAACAAGGTATAGATTATGATGATGTTTACTCTTGTGTAGCAAGACATGAAACCTTGGGTTTGCTTTTCGTCTTATGTTTTAAAAATTAACTTTACCTACATCGCATGGATTTATTAATATATAAACTGATCAATGGATCTATTAATATATAAACTGATGAATGTTTATATATTAAAGGTATTAATTTGAAAATCATATTAATTTAAGTGTGTGTTGACGTTATACAACTAGCGTGTTATTCAAAAAAAATGTTAAAAGAGACAAAGATATGTTGCAAAATACATTTGAAATAAAAGATTTAGATGAAGTGGAAAATATAATTGTTTTTGATATAAAACTAATCGTGTGTGCTTGCATTGGAAGCCCTGCAAGTATTATGTCTGTAGTTTTGAAATTGTGTTCCATTTTGTTTGAGATATTTTAAGTCTTCTTCTTCTTATTATTATTATTATTATTATTATTATTATTATTATTATTATTATTATTATTATTATTATTATTATTATTATTTTTATTATTATTATTATTATTATTATTATTATTATTATTATTATTATTATTATTATTATTATTATTACTATTATTATTATTATTATTATTATTCTTATTATTATTATTCTTATTATTATTATTATTATTATTACTATTATTATTATTATTATCATTATTATTATTATTATTTATTACTATTATTATTGCTATTATTATTATTATTTATTAATATTATTATTATTATTATAATTTATTATAATTATTATTATTATTATCATTATTATCATTATTATTATTATTATTATTATTATTATTGTAATTATTATTATTTTATTATTATTATTATTATTATTATTACCGACCGTATTGTGTAAACAATAGGTAGGTTATGTGATGGCAACAAATTTTGCATATCGAGTTTTCGGTGGGAACGTACTTCTCCATAGTAGGGAAGTGTAAATAAACTATTTTTAGCAACCTGTCGGTCTGTCGGTCTGTCGGTCTGTGTGTGCACGCGTGTATCTCAAGTTCGGCTGAACCGATTTTGATGAAATTTTATATGTAAGTTTATTTCCACCATGGCACGGATCGATCAACTTTTGGTATATATCAGGCCTCGGGAACTGCACTTTTTAGCGGGCCTGTTTTACATTTTTGAACATTTTGAAGAAAATATTCAACCGATTTACTTGAAATTTTATATATAAGCTCAGCTCGACCGTCCGCAAAAATTCGTATGTTTTGGAAGAAATCAGGCATCGGCAACTAGGCGTTTACTACGGGCCAAATATACATTTTTGTGTATATAAAGAGAAATAATCAACCGATTTCATTGAAATTTAATATATGAATTCCTCATATTAAAGCAATGAACATATAACTTTTTTGGAAAGATCAGGGCTCGAGAACTGATTTGCGGGCCGATTTTACATTTTTCACCATATCCACAGAACAAATTGATGGAATTTCTTGAAATTTGATATTTGAGTTCTGGTTGTTACCGAAACTAACTCGCGAGCATTTCAGGGAATTCGGGTAGCACAAAGCGAAACTCTATTAAGAGCCAAATTTACATTTTTCTAAGTATGTTAACTATAAGCTTACTAATGTCCTAAAAATTGGAAAGAAGTATTTAACAGACATTTTTATAATATTCTGTAACACTTTCATTTAACTAGACAATACACAATGCGGTCGGTTATGTGCTGACCACATCAGATTTTTATTATTATTATTATTATTATTATTATTATTATTATTATTATTATTATTATTATTATTATTATTATTATTATTATTATTATTATTTATTATTATTATTATTATTATTATTATTATTATTATTATTTTATTATTATTATTATTTTTATTATTATTATTATTATTATTATTATTATTATTATTATTATTATTATTATTATTATTATTATTATTTATTATTATTATTATTATTTTTATTATGGTTATTATTATTATTATAATTTATTGTAATTATTATTATTATTATT